GCATACCATAACATTTACCATCTTAATTTTTAAGTGTGCATTTTAGTACTCTTAGGACATAATTGTGCAACCAATATGTTGAGAACTCTTTAACATTCACATAATTGTGCAACCGGTCTCCTGAACGGTTTTTATCTTTCAGAACCGAAACTCTATACCACTTCAACAGCAACCCTCCTTTCTGTAAATTTGACCACTCTAAGTACTTCCTATAAGGAAAATCAGACAGTGTTTGCCTTTTTGTGTCTGGCTTATTTCCCTTAGCACAGTGTCCGCGGGGTTCATCCACACGGTAGAGTGTGTCATAATTTCTTCCTTTTTAGGGCTGAGTAGTACTGAGTAGTACTGCACTGTGCGCATGTATGCACCACATTTTGTTCAGTCATTCATCTGGGGATGGACAGTTGGATTGTTTCCCCCTTTGTGATAATGTTAGATAATGTTGCTGTGAATAGGGGTGTCCAGGTATCTCTCTGAGACCCTGCTTTCATTTCTTTTGGGTTATATGCCCAGCAGTGGAATTGTTGGGTCATATGGTAATTCTATTTTTTAATGTTTTTGAGGAGATGCCATATTATTTGCCACAGAGGCTGCACCATTTTACATTCCCACAGTTGACTACTTTGAGGAATCTGTGAGGGCTCTTCCCTTCCTGGCCTAGAAGCTCCCTCCCTGAAGGCTGGATGAATTGCACTTTTTCCCTCTTCCGGCTCACAGAGTATGCAGCTGTGGGCTTATCCCTCAATGGGTACTGCGGGTGCCCTGTGCCCTTTGCATATGGGAGGGGGTCCACCCATGTGGAGAGAGCCGTTCAGTTGCACAGGAAGCTTTCTGTTCTCCACCTCTGCAGCCAGGGTCCAAGGCTCCAAGGGTGGGGATTCTTGGAAGGGCGGCTACCTGGGATGTGATGAATCATCTCAGACTAAAGGAGCCTGGTGTCAGGATCAGCTTGACTTCCAACCCAGAGCCGGGTGTTGGCACAGAAGGGCCCCTCTTCTAGTGGGAATCAAGAGGCAGTGCCCAGCACTTCCTGGCAGGCCTGGCTTCCTGCCCACCCACAGGGCTGTGTTATGGTCCCTGGGTCCCTTGAAGGCTGGACTTGGGAGCAGCCTATCTGGGTCCTGAATCTGGTGTTTTGGTTTGGCTGCTGGCACAGAAGTACTCACAGGGCAGAGGGTGAAGAACCCAAAGGTCAGAGCCCCTGGTAGGTTTCCAATCAGATGTTTGTGGACAGGAAAATGGACATTCATATTAACCAGAGAACAAATAGAAGGTAAATATGCCCCTTTTTATGGGCAGAACCAGGTGACTGGACTGTGACTTTGCTTAGGAAAAGCCATTACCAGCTCCAAGAACATTTTTGGTTTTGTGTATCCTGTAAATTATTTTATAGAGGACCACCTTTACTCTGATCTTTCATTTCTGTGAATCATAAAACCTCTTCCTTCAAAAAGAGATTATCTCCATTACTCTTAGATAACTTTCATACAGTAAGATGCACAAATCTTAACTGCATGATGCGGTGAGTTCGATTAGTATAAATGCCCGTGTAGCCAGCACCGTAATACAGATACAGAACCAAAGAAAGTTTCCTTGGATCCTTTTCCAGTTGATTACCACCTCCACCCCGTCAATGTAGATTAATCTGCTTTTCTTCTAAATGTCATATAAATGATATTTATATGACACAATGTAATTTTGGGGAAATTTGCCCATACTGTATATAAAAGAGTTCTTTTTTAAAAAATAAAGTCTGAGAAGTATTGCACTGATAAATATAACTACAATTTGTTTATGAATTCTCCAAGAGCCATTTTCTTTTTTAAATGGAGAGGGAGAAACCCTCCAGGCTCTGCACTTAGCGTGTGTGGATAGCCTGTTTGTCTGTGCACCTATCCTTATACGTCCTAAACACAAGCCCTGCGCTCGCCTGGGGCATTGAGGTCAGTCAGAATTGGGCAGTGAGGATGTTGACAATGCAGGGAAAGGCACACACATAGGAGATGTAGCCCAAATGTCCTGCTGGTTCAGGTGTAGGGAGACTTGACTCCCCCTGGGAGGGCTTCATAGAGGAGGTGGCTTTGCTTTGAGCTTTCAAGGAGGAAGAGATTTGGAATTCTCAGAGAAGCATAGTGGGGAGGGCCTGCTGAAAGAGCAAATGAAGCCGAGGGAAGGTGGAGGCCACACAGACCATCATTCCTGAATTCAGTGCTTTGCAGTGGCCAGGGCCAGCCCAGCAGAGGCTTGGGACTGGCAGCTTGGACCTCCTAGCAGCTGGCCTTGCCCCTCCCGGTGCTGGACCCAGAGGTGAGGCAGGAGACAGCCCAGCCTCAGCACATCTCTCTGGGGACTACAGGGCAATTGTGTTAAAACAGGCCTACTGTGTCTTCTGGAGTTGGTGGCGTCCTGCCATCTGCAGCTGGTCTCGCGGCCCATGTTTGTCCACCTTCCTGCACATCCGAGGAGGAGGAGCAGGCCCCAGCTCGGTGTGAGCAGTGAGACCTGTCTCCCTGATTCTTTCTCTTTCCTCCACTGCCTTTAGTCCTCTGGATTGAGAAGTTTTCCTCTCCTGGTTGTGAGTCATTTGGCAAGAGGCATGTTGACACTTGGTGACCCAGGTAACTGAGACTTGGTGTTAAGCAAGGGCCTCCACGCTCTGTGCCTGCCTTCCCCTACGCTGAGGCACCCTCACCCTTAGTCACACCCCAGGACTTAGTCACAGGCCAGCCTGGCAGAGGGCAAGGTTACTGAATCTGTATGCGTTGGAATCTAGCTAAGAAAAACAGTAATAATTCCTTACTTTATATTTGCAGAGCACTTTGTACTTTGTCAGACGTGATCAGGCTTGTCATTCTTTTTCCAGCCAGCTAGTGCTTATCAGTACCTACTGTGTGCCGAGTGGCAGAAAGGGGAACACAACTAGGTTGATAACTGGAGGGAGCTTATGGTCTGGTTGGGAAAATGGGTGAAGAAATAAGTATAAGCAATGATGAGACAGGAATACGTGTAGACTGGGGCTCAAAGGAGTTTGTGGTCAGTCATATCAGGGAATGTCAGGAAGGGCTTTGCAGAGGAGGCAGCATCAGTGGGTCAGAAGGTGAGCAGTGATTTTGGATAGATTTGGTGGGGAGGGTATAGTCCAAGGGAAGAGGAGCAACTTGAGTAAGTCAGGAAGATAGTCCCCAGCCCAGCAGTGGGAAGCGGGAGGTTGGTGTGGATGTGGTGGGTGGGGTTGGAATTGAGGCTGGGTGGGGGGGGGAAACAGGTGGGCCTTGACAGCTGGGGATAGACACCCCTGAGGATTAGAGTAGAATGAGGCTAGAGGCTGGGAGGCCAGTTCGGAGGCTGATGTGGTCATTCACTCAAGAGGTGAATCCTGAATGTATGGGGGTGTTCATTGGCTCATACTCTGGAAAGTTGCAGGGAGTAGAGCTTCAGGCAAGGCTGAATCTAGGTGCTCAAATAATGGGTTTAGGAATCTTTTCCATCAGGACTCATCTTTCCTGTGTGTGTGAACTTCATTTTTTTCCATGACTAAGAGTTATTCAGTGCTTTTCCTGCCTTTAAAGAAAACTGCCACAAATACAGTTATTCTTCTTTACAACATTCATTTCTAGTAAGCCTGGCAATGCTTTCCCTTCTGTTTCATACAGATTTTTATTTTTTATTTTTGGCCAGGGCTGGGTTTGAACCTGCCACCTCTGGCATATGGGGCTGGCACCCTACCCTTTTGAGCCACAGGCGCCGCCCCAGTTTTTTTTTTTTTTAATTGCCTTGGTGCTATGCTTTCATTTCATTAATTTTTTTAGAAATTTTTGACTGTGGGTAAAAAAAAACACATAACATAAAATTTACCATCTTAACCATTTTTAAGCATATAGTTTAATAGTGTTGTCTATAGTCAGATTGTGTAGACTACGTTTTAAGGCAGTCTTTCCTAACATTTCCAGGCAGACCTGTGGGATCAGCTTATCAACTCTGGTGGAAAGAGTATCAATTCTGAAACTGGTTCTTTTTTTTTGAGACAAGAGTCTCAAGCTGTTGCCCTCGGTAGAGTGCCGTGGCATTACGGCTCACAGCAACCTTCAACTCTTGGGCTTAAGCGATTCTCTTGCCTCAGTCTCCCAAGTAGCTGGGACTACAGGTGCCTGCCACAATGCTCAGCTATTTTTTGGTTGCTGCCATCATTGTTGTTTAGGGAGCCTGGGTTGAATTCAAGCCCACCAGCTCTGGTGTATGTGGCTGGTGCCCTAGCCACTTGAGCTACAGGTGCCAAGCCTGAAACTGGTTCTTATTGGCTCATACTGGGCCATGTACTCACCCTGGGCCTATCACTGTGGCCCTTGTGATCAGCTGTGACTGTCACTGTGGCCCTTGTGATCGGCTGTGACTGTGGGTTGGTCAGAGGAAAAATGAGGTGCCGATACTGAAAGATGGGATGTGGGTATTGGGGAGGTAGAAACAGCAGGTGTCCACTGCAGGCAGAGGAGACCTGAGCACAGACAACTTAGGTGAGGTAGAAAGTGTTTGCTTCCCTGGGAAGGGTATGTATAAAATGCCATGTGACTCGAGCACCTGCTATGCTACGGATTGTGACCATCCAAAGAGGCTCACATTTGCTCACATAGATCTTCCACTGGGGGAGAAAAGGGCTGGCTAGGCGTGACCCCACTGCAGCCTAGGAAGTAGTCAGCATCTGGAGGGTGGAAGTTTTTCTTCTAAAAACTGGAAGGAGGGTTCGGGAATGGCTTTCTGAGGGAGTTGGGCTGGGGGCGTTGCAGTGTGATTGCCTGGGTCCCTCTGTCCGTTGCTTGCTCCCAGCCACCGCTAATACCCCCGTGGCTTTAGCTTCCTCCCTCCCCTCTGCAGATCTCACTCCCCACTGGCTGCTCCAGAGCATATGTCCCCTCAGAAGGACGAGCCCACCTCAGGCCCGTGGGGAGGGCATGGAGTTGGGGGCCTGAGCAGGGCAGGGCTGAGATGCTCTCTTCCTCCTGCAGGCCTCTCCCTGGAACGCCTCCCCAACTCCATTGCCTCCCGTTTCCGCCTGACTGAGAGGGAGGAGGAAGTGATCGCCTGTTTTGAGAGAGCTGCCTGGATCGCTCAGGTGTTCCTGCAGGAATTGGAAAAGGTGAGCTGGGAGTGACAACACTGTGGTAGCAGCCACTCTGTAGAGCATCTATATCTACAGGTTCCCACTGAGTCCTAGATCACCCTCACTCGTGTTAGAAAAAGGTGTCACCTCCATCCCTGAAGACGCTTTGCTTCATCAGTTAGGAAACCCATTATAGTATACTGTTTACTGCCAGAAAATAGTTTTAATAAATAAATGAGTCTGTGCCATCTGTGAAGCACCAGAAAGTCCTTGAGGAACTCGGCTCGTGTGTATGAGCAAATGTGACAGCCCTGTTTGTAATCGTTAACATGCTTACTCCTCATGACAGCCCTCTGAAGTGGGTATGTGTTTAAGAGACGGAGTGTAGGGAGAGTCAGTCATTTGCTCCCCACTCTCCCCTTGGACGGGGCAGAGTTGGTCTAGTTCCTGCAGTTAGACGTCCTTCCTGCTCTGGTGCCCTATAAGCGGCTCCTTGCTGGGTTCCTTGGGGAGGTCATTTTCCAAACCTTTGGGAGGCATCAAGAGCTGGCCAGCAGGGCTCTGGCAGTTCTCAGGCCCCCTCCTCCCTCAGCACCCGGTGGTGGGCCTGTGTTCCTGCCTGGAGATGTTCACTGCCTTCCAGGATGAGCTTCCCGTCCTCCCCCTTCTGAGGGGCTTCTGGTTTACCCTGAGGGGGGCAGACAACTATATTCCATGCACGTGCTGCTGGCATTTGTTGAGTGCCTGTTTTGGTTTCAGGTACTACTCTGAGTGCTTTGTATTCATTCTATAATTTAACCCTTACATAGACAGGATGAAATAGGTGTTGTTATTATTCTCATTTACAAATAAGACTCAAGTTTGGAGAGAAGGTAAATAGCTTCCTGGCATTCGTACAGTTAATAAGTGGCGTTGTCAGGATTTGATCCTAGGGAGTGTGGCTCTGAGTACTTGTGAGAGAAGTATTGGAGGTAGTACTTAGGCATTCTGTTTAACAAATGTTTAATACATGTTAGATGCAGATTCCATAGCAGAGTAGATCAGCTTGGTGCCCTGAAGGAGGAGGTGGTCATGAGAGACACAGAGCCCAGGAGATGCTTGTGCCTCAACTACTTTGGCAAATGCCAGAATGTCACACAGTACATGTTTTGTCCTGGGCCTTGCCAGAATAGTCTTCCTCAGGCAAGGCTAATTCCCCAGAGCCAAGATTCTCAACCACAGGACCATTGGCATTTGGGGCAGATAATTCTTTCCTGTGGGTGGCTGCCCTGTGTGATATAGGATGTTGAGCACCCTGGCCTCTACATACTGGATGCCAGCAGCACCTTGGCACCCAATTTGTGACAATGAAAAGTATCTCTAGATCCTGCCAACTGTCCCCTGAGAGCAAAAGCACCCCCGTGAGAGCCACTGCCCTAGGGTCCCTCTGCTTGATTGAACTCCAGGAGGAGAAGACAAGGGGTTGAGGGACTTGAGCTTGGAGGCATGGCATGCCCAAATTGACCTCTACCAAGGTCAAAGTCACTGCCAGACAGCAGTGTTTTAGGACTTCTTCTTATCAACATTGTATGTATTGGGGGGGCAGGTGGTGAACTTTCATGAGGAAGGTAAAGTATCCCTTTTAGCTGGAAGCCTAGGCTTTGGTCTTTTTAAAAGAGATTAAGGTGTTGAACTATGATAGTGTCCAGGCTGGAATCAATGCCTGGTGGCTGTGGGCAGACAAATGGGCCCCGATACCTGGTTATCCTGAACTTAGGGAGGGCAGGCCACAGAACCCTGCACATTCTCAAAAATGCTGCGTGTCTCTCCTGAGGCCCAGTTCCAGCCTCTGAGAACTAAGAACCTCTCTTAAATCTACTTCAGTTTCTAAAGAATAAGGTGGATGGCTCAGTAATTATTTTCCTCAGCTCAGTCAAGGAAAGTGGCATGCTGAAGGCAGGCCTATCTGGATGGGGCTCAGTGACCCTCTTCAAGCTGAGGCTTAAGTGACAGCTTAGTTGAAAATGTTATAATTCCTTGGCCTTTCCTGGTACCAGGAGTCTCAGCCCTTGGGATGTTCTGACATTCTATACTTACATGACAAGGACTGTGCAATGCCTGGCATAGGGTAGGCACTCAAATGTTTGTGGAATGATTGCCAATAAGTGGTAGAATCTGGACCTAGCCAGACTTTGTGAACTTAGGCAATTCTGAGCCTCAGTGTTCTGTATAAAGCAGGCAAAACCAGTCTTCTAGGGTCCTTGTGAGGCTTAAATAAGATTTTGGCTTGTGGGCTCGGCGCCTATAGCTCAACCAGCTAAGGCGCCAGCCACATACACCTAAGGTGGCGGGTTCGAATCCCTAGCCCGGACCCGCCAAACAACAATGATGGCTGCAACCAAAAAATAGCCGGGCGTTGTGGCGGGCGCCTGTGGTCCCAGCTACTTGGGAGGCGGAGGCAGGAGACTCGCTTGAGCCCAGGAGTTGGAGGTTGCTGTGAGCTGTAATGTCACGGCACTCTGCCCAGGGGGACAGCTTGAGGCTCTGTCTCAAAAAAAAAAAAAAAAAAAAAAAAAAAAAAAAAAAGATTTTGGCTTGTGGTAGTTATTCCATAAGTTCCCTTGTGTTTCCTTACTTGGGGCAGAGATAAGAGTGTGGATAGCAGTGGGGTTGGGAGACACACCCCTGCCCTGTGGGAGTGAAGCCTGGTGGGAGATGAGGTTTACACACGTATGAACATAGCAGGGAGCAGCTGTGGGGGTTGGTCTCTGCCTCACTTGCTGTCTGGTCGAAGAGCGAGAGCTCAGCATGGAGACTAAGAGTGCAAATTTGAGCCTGGCTGCCTGGCTCCACCACCCATAACCTGAGTGACCCCAGGGCAGGAAGAGAGCCTCTCTGTGCCTCAGTGTTCTCATCTGTGAAATGGGCATGACAATTCCTACCTGATAGGGTTGCCCTAAGGACTAACCAAATTAGTGAATTTAAAGCTCTGTGATTGTTGAATGTATAATGTTAGACATGGGACTGGTGGGCATCCAGCATGTGGATGGTATATGCTCTAGGCATATTTTAAAGAATAGTGCCACATGTCCCCAGGGGACAGCTAGGACTGGAATGGTGAGAGGTCCCCTCCTCTGGCTGGACTGACCCTTGCTCCTGGCCCCTCTGCCTCAGAACTTCCAGACAGTGGCTCGCTCTCTGTTTCCTTCCCAGACTGGAAATAACAGCACGTCAAGGCACCTGAAAGGCTCCCACGTGGTGGACTATGAGCTCACCTACTTCATGGAAGCCGCCCTGCAGAGCGCCTATGTGAAAAACCTGAAGAAGGGGTAGGTCGCTGGCAGTCAGAGTGGGACGCGGACACTTCTCTCTTGTCTGGGGCTTTTGACACGGCCTTAAGGATGGTCTTCCCTCTCCTGGCCTGTGTGCCTGTTTGTGCACTCTCAGGAGAGGATGGAGTGGGGGCTGGCTCGTGTCACAGCTTGTCAGATGGAAGTGTGCGGAGGCGCTCTCTCGGTTGGAAGGGGCAAGCTTCAGGAAGCTGCCGAACCAATAAATCCTGCAATGCTTTGGGGGAAAACCGCAGAAAAGAGAAACAGGTGTGGCTGTCTTGAGAGGGGAGAATCCTGGGAGGCTGGGTCCTTGGTAGGTGGTGTTGAAAGAGCAGTGGACAGTGAGCAGGCAGTGAGTGCTAGTCTGGCTTTGGTCACTGTCACCTGCACTGTGGGTGAAGTCATTTCATTTCTCTGAGCTCCAGGTTCCCCAGAAATCAAATGAGAAGGCTGATTCCTGCTCATGCCAGCTTTCAAGGGATTGTGGTGTGTAAGGGGAAGTGTAGTGAAAATAAAGGCCTGTCACCATTTGGGGGCTATGTCTGTCCCTGCTTGTTATCTTAAGGGCCCCTGGGAAAACTCACCTACCTGAGACCCAAGAGCCTTGATGCCTGGAATGCCTTTGTAGGCCTTTGATCCTGGTGGGTGAAGGGGTGGCTGGTGTTGGGTGCTTCATGCTGTGCACTGGGTGTTGGTGTTGAGGGAGGGAGCAGCTGTGAGATCAAGAGTGCATGCTGCAGGCAAGTGTGGCTCTGAGGCAGTTCTCTGGGTGGTGGGCCCCTGGTGGGCCCCGTCTGTGGTCAGTCCTGTTTGCCAGTGATGCCTCTGCTAGTCTGGAGACTCCCAGGCCAGGGCTGGGTTTCCCACCTGCCTCTCAGCACAGTGCTGTGCAGATGCTGTGGGCTGGGGCTGCAGGACATCACTGGCAAGAGCGGGGGACACACATGCTGAGGGGGCCTGTCACGCCTCACCTCAGCTGTCTGGGTATTACCTCCCCCTCATAGACAAGGAGCCGCAGGACCAGAAGCTCGTGGCTTTCCTTTCACTGACTACCTGGAGTTCTCTGAAGCCCGTGTATCATTTTTGGTCTGATTTATTTTGTTCAATTGCACTTTATTCTTTCATTTAACCTGTTTTTGGATAGAGGATTCTTACACATGGTGTATGCACCTGTTTGGTAGAAAAAAACAAATTTACTGTTTTCTCCCACTCTATAATTTTAATGCAACACAGACCACTTCTGTGACCAAATGCATGGGGTTTTTCTCCACTCACAATGAACTCTCCAGCACCGGCTGGGT